AAATAGTTTATGCTACGGGCTTTTTGTAAAGTATCATTCAATGAGATAGCGACAAACTCAAAAAATTAAGTGACTATAATGTATGGTAAACAAATGGACACTTAATTAATTTCAGAAGAGGTTTTAAGGATATTATAGTAATTTCAATGGTTTAGATCATGAGTCAATTGAAGCTAGACAACCATGGAAAACCTGGAAGGACTGAACGGCTGTTTCGTCCGATTATGGGACCCCTCAGTGGCAGTGTGCATTCACGATCTCTCTTATCTATTGATATAATCCATTTACAAGGTACAGATTGATATTATTGGCTTGGGGATGCATTTTTAAGTAGAAGATCTACTGTTAAACTATCAGACTGGATAGAATGAATTAGGTAGGATAGATTTTGAACATGAAATTTATCGGTTGAAAAAGCGAGTGCTTATACCACTACGCCAGTGACTTCAAGTAACTATAGCTCTATCCTACAGTATAGTCTTTTTTACATTGGCGCTATCTAATCAAATAATATCAAGATTCTCAATATGGTATTAGTATGTGGTAAGACTTACTTTCAACCCATACGAAACCTCTAATTAAACCATAAATAAATAACATTGTATGTCTCTAATGATTACCTTTGAAATACATTTTCTCGTAGAATTGAAATAGAGTTGTGTAATGATAATAACAATGATAATGGATCATTGAATTCTAACTCAGTCGATTAATGTTATCATGACAACAAACTAGATTTGATATAGATCCTTAACTCTACTTAATTTGCATTATTTGAGGAGACTAAAACAACTATTCATTTCTAGTTGTTCTCACTTTGTTATTTCACAAACATTAGTTCATAATTAAAATTATTTCTTGTTTATTATTCTTTTCTAAAATGTTGATTAAAATAAGGGAGAAAAAAGGTTTAGTAATTGTCTAATCTGTGATGAAACAGCCGTCCAATGCTCCCAGGTTTTTCATGGTGGTTTACTTTCAGTTGACTCATGGTCTCAACTATTGCAATCTGATTGTCTAACAAACATTCACTTAAAACCATAACTATTGTTTATTCATGTATTGTGTTAAACTGGTGTAAATGTTAATGAATGATACACGTTAGATATAAATCAAAAATATGTTGCATTATTAACTAACAAAGTATATTGTAAATAATGCAATTTTAGTTATTTGGGTTGAGGAAGCTGTGTACTTAAGCTTCATGGTAAGTGGAGCATCTGCAACATGAATAGAAATGATGTTTCTGGTGAGATTTGAATCCGTCCAAACTATTGATTTACGTCATACTTCGTGGATTGTTCAAAACCCGAGAAAGATTGGCTCGTGAGGAACAGGCTGGTTTTCGTTCTGGTCGAAGATGTATTAATCACATCTTTACCCTCCTCCAAATGTTTAAGCACTGTTATACTTGCACTGGTCAATAATCGTAGTGTTTCTTGACATTATGGCCGCCTTCGATTCGTTGAACAGGACTGTTCTCTGGGATTGTCTATTGAAGAAGGGTGTGACTGAAATTTTATTAACATCTTAAAAGTCTTATATAGAAACACTTCAGACAGAGTGAGGACATACAACCACCTCTCTCCATTGTTCCATTCAAGCAGTGTAGTTCGGTAGGGTTACACAATCTCACCGTTGCTCTTCAACTTTCCTATCGAGGACATCCTAGAAACATCTGCGATGGATGTAGGTAATGGTGGTGTGGATGTGTTACCCCAGGAAAGGCCTTTCGACCTTGAGTATGCGGATGATATTGTCTTACAGTGCGATAATGCCCAAGCCATGCAATCTGCGCTTAATCAGTTGGCAATTACTGTCCGTAGGTATGGAATGTGTTTTGCACCTTCGAAGTGCAAAGTACTTTTACGAGACTGGGAATACTTTGATCCTGCACTCACCCTAATTGGTGGGCAGATAGAAGTAATCGAGAAGTTCGTGTATCTGGGTAGTAGCGTATGTGCTGCTGGTGGCGTGAATGGTGAGATCAATTCATGTATAATGGAAACCAGAGTGACTTATTCCAATTTGGATCATCTTTGCAGCCTTCGCGATGTTAGTCTGGATGTAAAAGGTCGGATCTTTAACGTATCGGTGAGAGCAGCTTTACTCTATGCTTGTGAAACCTGATCTCTCCGAATTGAGAATGTTGGACAACTGTTTGTGTTTGACCATCGTTGTCATTGAAGGATTGCTGACATCTAATGACAACACCATGTTAGTAATGCAGAGGTTCGGCACCGTGTGTTCGGGCACAGCGACGATAATTTAGTTGATGTCACTATCTTGAAACATCGACTTCGGTGGTTTGGATATGATCTATGAATTTCGTCTCGGAGTATTCGAAGTCGTGCATTATTTGCCGACGCTGAGACTGGTTGGGAAAAGTGGAGAGGTGGTCAGTTTATGAAATGGTGTCGTGGTAAAAAAAGAAAGCTGTGTAGGACTGGCTTCCGTTAGATCTTCATGACTCACTAGTTGGGGTCCTAGAGATGGTGCAACTCAGTGGCTAGAGACATTATCAGACATGGCTGAGAATAGAAGCCAGTGGCAATCTTGCTGTAACTTTCTTTTTATTTCTTGATAAAAAATGGACGTAACTTATTGTTATTTCTTCACTGTCATATACTTATTTCTATTCTCCTTTTTCTTATACTCATTCTACATTCTCTATCTCTTCACAGCCTCATTATTATTGTGTGATGCATATGTAATTGGTGGTCCCTTTTACCAATATTTTTGTGTTCAAATAAATAATTCACTGTTATTCTTAATCGTTCAATCCATTGCTGACCTCTTGACTGGATGATAGTGATTCACAGTTCATTGAATTCATCAGTTTCAGCATAAATTCAAATGTGTTTTATTCACAAGTCTCAAGGAATTGGAAATCGTGATACAGAACTTTTTTACGATTTCCTTCAACCACTTAACACACACACACACACACACAAAACACTAGTGTTAGTAATGTCCAGTCATTTAGGCTAGTGATTATTTCTAAAGTTAGTCAATAGTATTCTGTTAGGAATAATATTGGTTACTAATCAGTGTAAGTTCTATATTTGTTTATGACATAAATCAATAATCCGATGCACTTTTTTTTAATACATGAATGTTATCATGTTTATAAGAATCAATAATATAGCTGACATTATGACAAAATGATTGTCTATTTAAAAGATAGTCTATATGTTCTTATGAGTTAAATAGATTGAAATAGACTGATATTCATATTGAATAAGAATATCTTAACTATGAGTAGAATAAATCCATAGAAATAAACAATAAGTATATGATCAAAAGTAGTTTAATTGATCATAGAAATGTACTAATGTAGACTTTTAACACTAAATTGAATGATTCTCACTGTGTCTAAATACACCATATCGAACCTTCTCATTACTAACAATGGTATTACCATTGTATGTCATCAATGCTTCTGTTATATCCGAGTGGAGATTAAATTACAGGTAACGTCCGAGGACTATTCATGGACTAATATTCTTATTGTATAACTACTCAACAATTACACTATGTATATTTATATTCCTTTTATGATAAGCATTATTTTGGCCTATAATTTATTATTGTACGATTTACGGTTCTTAAGTTATGTTCAGTTTATTAACTACTGCCTCCCACATTCACAGCCACTTTTTGGGCTTATTTGTGTACAAATATTATTTCCTATTTTATGGTACGTTGCGGTCTGTATGATTGATATATAAACCAAGTATGCCTGAAATAAACGATCTGCTCTGATTCGGAAGCTGGTATCTTGTTCTGGACTCAAGTGGAAGGGCTCGTAGGACATAGGACCAATAAGGACGCTAAACTGCCCACACCGGTTGAACGTCATTGGTTGGCCTAGTGTGAAGATTCGTATAAGTCATATCCGGATTGGTAGGTAAATCGTGTGATTGAAAAGTCAGACATCCAAGGTCATAACAGCTTCAATGACAACGATGATGAAACACACGCACACACACACACACACAAAACAGACAGACAAACAAAGAGTTGTGTAACATTCTTAACTTAGAGAAATCAAGTTTCACAAAGACAGAGAAAAACCGTTCTCATCAACACATTGTAAATCTGATCTAAATTAACATCGCAAAAGTTAAATAACAAAACAAAAAAATAACGCGCCCTATTCATCATTAAAAGTTGAATTTATTTAAAACGTATAAAAATTGAAATTGAAAGGTAAGAAAAAGAAAATATACACAACGTAAGTAAGTAAGTAAGTAAGTAAGCAAGTAAGTAAGTAAGTAAGTAAGTAAGTAAGTAAGTAAGTAAGTAAGTAAGTAAGTAAGTAAGTAAGTAAATGAAGATCAAACAGATTAGAATTAAAGTATATAAAAGTGATTATGAAAAGAATATTTGTCAACCTTCATGATCATGATCACGATCATCATCATTATGAACATCATATCAAATTGATCATACAGACATATTGATCCGTAAAATGAAATCTATAATGAGAATAATAATAAGACGAAGAAGAAGAAGAATTTCATGGACATATTACATAATATTGAAATCCATAATCATCCATTGTTGTATTAAAAAAAATAAAAAAAAATGGTATCTTTATTTTATTGAATATCAGTTTCTTTTCTCTCTTTTTTTCTTTTCTTTTTTTGTTTTTGTTTATTTTTCTCATCTCAAAAAGAAAAAGATTATTTTTTGTGTACAATCAATATTTATTGTAAATTAATGCAAACATCATTCAAATAATAATAATAACAGTAATAATAATAAATGTAATCTGTTCAACTTTCTTTTCTTTTCTTCTTTTTTGTTTTTTTTTTGTAAAAAAAAGAAAAAAAAGAAAAGAAAGCAGAATACAATCCAATTTTTTTATGATCCATTATTAAAGATGATAAAGAAACAACAATAACAACCAAAAAGAGATTGGAATGTGAAGAGATTGTTTCAAAGTTTTGTTTCTTTTCTTTTGTTTTTTTCTTTTTTCTTTTTTTTTTGTTGTTGAAAAATATTCATGAGACTATCATTTATGATTCACGTCTGAATGATGCCAAACTAACCATGAGTGTGTTCATTTCATAATCAAGATCAAACTGAAGATTATGAACATGTAATGAAGAATTCAAATTATCACTTACACATAATGATTAAAGGTTCACAAATAGATTTCGAGGTGTTTTTTTTTGTATCATAAACTAACATCAGAAAAAAAAAGTTTCTATTTTACCAAATTGGATCAGGTTAAATTTTGCGCCTAAAATCTCAAAACTTTCTATTTAATATTTGATTAGTTCGTTCATAAATTATAATCTTACCAAAAAAATATTCAATCATTGACTAATAAATTCAATGTTCAATATTGAATATTCAATGTTCAATGTTATGATTTATGATTGTTTAAATAAGCAACATAAATGATATGATAATAACAGATTGCCTTCTTGTTACAATGTTATTCAAGTACATTATTGAACATGTATTATATGTATATATGATGTAATATTATTTCATTTATATATATAAATCAATCTTTATATTTCACACACAATGATGATGCGAATGATGATCATGATCATGATCATAATGATAAATAATGAATATCAGTAGTATTGTTCATGATTTATTAGTAATATAAAAAGTAGACTATAAAATAAGTAACAAAGAATTTTTGAATAAATGCAAATAAATTATTGTTTGTTTACTTATTTATTTGTTTGTCTGTGTGTGTGTGTGCGTGCGAGAGTGTGGGTGTGCGTGTGGGTGTATGGTTTCGTCAATATTTTCCTATACGATTAATTGAATTTGAAATCTGTAGAAAAAACGTTGTTTTTTTTTGTTTTTTTTTTGATGAACTGAATGATTAATCAATAAAAAAAAATTAGAGAAAAGTTTTAGTAAATTAAAAAGAAAACAAAAAAATAAAAAAAAATATTGACTGTTTTATTTTTTTCTAAAAAAAAAAAATAAAGAATCCTTCCAATCTCTTGTTGGTATATGTGTATCCTCTGTGGATTACCTCTATATTGCTTTAATTCACAATCATTATAAGGGAAAGATGAGTAGTGGCTAACAGTGAAATCTAGGATATGAACCAATTCGTCTTATTTGAAACTGGTCAATTGAATGTACGTGAATTCCAGAGTTCATGTTCACTCTTAGACTCAAACCTCTTGCTGTTATCCACTTAGCTATTGAATCATAATAGTCAAGCAAACAATACCAAGTGAATTTTAACTTCATCTCATTGTATAAACATGTAACTATTAGGAATCGGTAGATAAGTAGATAAGACGATGGTATTTGAAGTGAATGGCACTGAGTTCAAGTTCAAGAGTGAACATCAACTCTAAGATGCAGGTACATCCAGATGACGAGTGGCGCAAGTCCTCGATCCCACCGCTAACCATTAACTATCTTTGCTTAAGAGGAATATATTTGCAAAATCTTAATAATTGAATATAAAGTAAATTCAATGTTTCACTTGACAGTTTGATCCAACCTTTCTCAAATAAATATAATCAAACACTAATAATTCAATCATTTTGATATTTGATTATATTTCGTTAGAAAGCCATAGAACAGATTGTCATGTTGGATTTACTTCATATTCAATCACTAAGATTTTACAAATACATTCATCTACCTTAATGTTTTATATGACTTTAGCAGCTAAACGTTCACTCAAATTAAGAACGAAAGTTATGTAATAGTGAAAGAAAGAGAATATTTTATTACAGAGAATTAGGTTGGATCATTATTTCAGTTTCTAACAAACTATTCAATAAAAGTTAGAGATAGTATTACTGAATTTGAATGGTGGTTATAGAGTTAAATGCTTAATCATAACACATCTTTTGACATAGATTCGAACTTTATTTCGTGAATTGGTTGAAGTTAGACATTAACATCGTTGAATACCAACAGGCTCAGTGATCTAGAAGTTTAGCATCCACACACGAGACTGATGGATTCTGAGTTCGAATCTGGTAAGGCGGGATCGTGAATGGGCATTAGCAAGGAGAAGTCCCACAATAGGACGAAACGGCTGTTTAATGCTTCCAGATTTTCCATGGTGGCCTAACTTCATTTATTATTTATTTATTTTAACACATAGATATTGGTACAAGGAGGCACAAAATACATATTCCCCACACAGATCTCATTTGATATGTGTGAGGGCTGTGCTACTGCCCCGGTGCCCTAACCGAAGCAGGTAGTTTTATTAGAGTGCCACACCTGGAGCCTTCGACCTGAAGATCTGATCCACAAGACAGTTGAGCATCATAAGGAGATGTAGTCCCATGGTAGCCGGTGACCAACGATTGGTTCATACACCATTTGTTCCTTCAGGCTACTGGAGCCCATGTGCATCATTAGTTTGGAATCAGGGTTTTCCAACTCCCCTAAGTGGACTCTCCGTGTCCACTAACCCGGTTGAAGCGCCAGACATTCGCTTTTCGTCCTCTCAACTTCGTAAACAATACCCTCGCCACGAGAAGGTAGTAAGTAGGACTTCTCTGACAGAGGCCTAACTTCAATTGACTCATGATCTCAACGATTAAAATATTCACAAAAACTCGTCTCTGATTAAAAACTTATAATACATTGAATATACCAAGGTAATGATTATTAACACTTACCTAACTTGATTATTTCACTGAAATACTTTTTATAATTATGTAATCATTATTTATTATTTCTTTTGTTGATTAAATTAAACATGAATCTGATTCATCATCTAAAGAATAAAAAGAAATTTATAAACAAAAAAGTTTACCTGATAAAGATAGAAAAAAAGAAAAAGAAAAAAGAAAAGAAAAGAAAAGAAAAGGAAAAGATGAACCATTCATAGATATATGAACTAATCCATATGTTTCTAGTTCAAGAAGTTTTGTATACACTCTCTTTGTTTTCCTTTAAACGAAGAGATTAAAATCGCTTCATATCTTTCTTTCTTCCTGTACTATATTCTTATATACAATCTTTCCTTTATATATTACTACCATTGACTTAACCACTCCTATGAATCCTGTGTCTATCTTGTTGTGTTAATGAGGTATGGCAACCTGGACCGATGCATATATATGCCTGGTCCTACGTTGTAGCTGACTGACCGACTCACTGACTGTAGAGTGTGTTTAATTTTTATTGTTTATATCAAAGATATTGAAATGAAAGTGGATTGAACAACTGGGTCATGGATCCATAACTTACATTATCGATAGAATTGAACATAACTAGGAATTGTATTGAGTGTTAACTATATAGATGATTTACTGATTCTTTATTCTAACTTGAATGAATCAATAATGTTTTTAAATCATTTTCTAATATAATTGATGTGTAACTGCCTCGAGTTGAATGTAATTGAACACCAATAGTTCTTAGTGGTTGTTTAACTATGATCAAAGGGTGATATGAATAATATATTTTTATCTAAACATCACACATAAATGTCAAGACATTTCTATCACATTTTTTTAGGGGGGGGAATTTAGAGAATTACCAAAGCCTATCATCCAAAAGTACAAGTGTTTATCAACAGTTGTTTAAGCAAAAACATCTGATCCGTTTGTCAGACACTGTAAGCAACAATCAACTATGAGAGAGAAAAAACCAGATTCCAGAGAACGAAGAAATCAGGACGAAGAAGCGCTGGAAGTGGATAGGACACACATTGAGGAAAACACCCAACTGCATCACAAGGTAAGCCCTTACTTGAAATTCTCAGTCAAAGGAAAAGAGGAAGACCAAAGAATACATTACGCCGAGAAATGAAGACAGACATGAGAAGAATGACCAACCATTGGAAAGAACTTGAAAGGAAGACCCAGTAGAGAGTGGGTTGGAGAATGATGCTGATCGGTAGCCTATGCTCCATTGGGGGTGATAGGCATAAGTAAGTAAGTAAATTACTAACATAGAAGTAGTTAAGGTTTTTCTCGTGTTGATTCAGAAAGCTTATTTGATATTTAGTAACTTGTTATATCTCAACGAAGAATAAATGATTAGTAACTGCTGGGAATCATTTATGGACTATCATCAAGTAACTAGATTATATATATATTCATTATTCTTTTTGTATTAAGCCTTCACTTGACCTATTGACTACTATTATAAGATTTACTATTCTTAAGTTGACACGTTAAACGCCACAGACACCTCACAAGCTGAGGTTTGTAACTAATTTTTATGTATTATTTAAAAAAGAACCGCTATTTTAGACAAATCGTTGTTTTGCCAACTTCGGTTTTGTGCGTATCTTAATTGGATGACCTGGACGCTTCGATAGATCTAGCACCAAGTATGTCTAAAATATGCAATTCATACAGTGAAAGCTAATATTTATGTTCTGAACTGAACCGACTAGGCTAGACGAGAAGCTACTATTCACAGGATTAATAAGGACTTCGAGTTGATTCAAAGCTCCTAGTGTTGGTCAACTCATCATTGGTTTAACACAGGACAAGGTCATATAAGTCGGTGTACTGATTGTCGATTTACTCACATGATATTTAACGGGTCACAGAACAATACAACCTATATTCTTCATAGTATAATTTATCTAAGTATACCAAGTAATAGCTTATTTTCATCCTAACTATGTCAAGATACTAATTTAATGTACAAGTGAGATTGTATCAATTCAAGAAAGGTAATTATTAATGTCATCAATTGCATAGTATCTGGAATGGTATGAACTAATCATTCATTAATAACTAATTAATGAGAGTAAGATAAAGAGAAAGATCTATAATTACTTTCTGACATATTTCTTCAGGCTTAAATAGTAACTTGTTATTCAAACTATTTTGGTTGGACTTCGCAGATGACCTAGCCCACCTATCCCATACATACGAACAAATGCAGATGAAGGCAACTCGTGGAGCAGCAGCCTCTGTATCAGTAGGCCTCAACATACACAATGGAAAAACCTAGATCCTCAGACACAACACAAAAAACACCAATTCAATCACACATAATGGCGAAAGTCTGAAAGATGTGGAATCTTTCATGTACCTGAGAAGCATTATAGATGAACAAGGAGGATCAGATGTAGACGTAAAGGCGACGATTGGCAAAGCAAGGGCCGCATTCCTTCACTTGACGAACATATGGAATTCAAAACAACTGTCAATCAATATCAACGTCACAATCTCCAATACGAACGTCAAGACAGTCCTACTCTACGGATCTAAACTTGGAGAACTAATACAACCATCATCAAGAACGTACAATTATTCATAAATGGTTGTCTAGGCAATATACTTAACATCCATTGGCTCGATAGCATTAGTAACAGCCTTCTGTGGGAGAGAACAAGTCAGCTTCCAGATGAAGAAAAAAATTAGGAAAATACGATGGAAATGAATAGGACATACATTACGCAAATCATCAAACTGCATCACGAGGCGAGCCCTAACTTAGGATCCTGATGGGAAGTGGGAAAGAGGAAGGTCAAAAACACATTACGTCAGGAAATAGAATCAGATATGAAAAGGATAATTAACAACTGGAAAGAGTTTCCCAGAACACTGTTGGATGAAGAATGCTGGTGAGCGGCCTATGCTCCTCCACGAGGAGTAACAGGCGTAAGTAAGTATTGATATGATCTTCTAATTGAAACGCTAGATTCAATTTCTTAAGCTGTTCTTGTACCTCTTGAGTTTAGATCTACACAGCTAATTAAACACGAGAGAAAAAGGCACAAAATATAGAAGAAAATGCTTTATTCCAAAGGTTCGTCTATATACAGAAAATCTAGGGGTTTTATAATATTTTAGATGGCCATGGGTTTCCGGAAAATTCTGGAATGCTACTGAACATAGTAGCAGTATAAATAATTATCCAGTCTTTTTGATGGAGTTGTGTTTTCTGAGCTGGATGTTTTGGTCATGGAGCTTTTATAATTATTCTGAACAATGACAGGTTTAAGGTCAACAATAACCAATCGACATTGAGGTCCATAGGACAAGCTGTTAATCACATGTGGAAAAATTCGAACACTTCACTTCCACCCGACGTTTTTGCTGATAATGATGTCGTTCAGAAGAACGATGAAAGCTCCACAACCAAACCAATCCAGGTCAGAGAACAAAACCCCGTCAAAATCGTTAACCTGAGCAACAAATCTTTGTCAACATGTCAATCATCCAATCACAAACACGACATATTACTTTTCACTTTCTAAATGTTTCTGGCATAACTTCTATTGAATACTGATTGGATAAGACGTTTCTGAGCATTTTCAGAGCGCTGTTTTAGGCTTTCTTTCGAAAAATTTTCTGGATCTCCCTAACAATGTTATATATTGAAATGGGATTTTTGTATCCTTGATAGATATTTAGGCAATTAGTCAATGTTTTTATCTTTTAAAATCACTTTTTGTGAGACTTGATGATCAGTTGGATGAGAAAGTTTTAAGATTTGGCAACTCTTATGTTCGCAATATTTCCTTAATATCTACCAATTTGAATAAATTTTTGTAAGTTTATCAAATGATACAAATTTCTAACCTGAGGAGTTGTCAGTCAGTCAGCTACAACGTAGGATCAGGCACATATATGCATCGGCCCAAGTTGCCATACCTCATTAACACAACAACATGAACATCGGAATCATAAAAGTAGTTAATTCAATGGTGGTAATATATAAAAGAGAAAGATTTCATATAAGGATATAGTACAGGAAGAAAGAATTAGTCTATAGAAAGAAAGATATGAAGCGATTTTAATCTCTTCGTTTAAGGGAAAACAAAGAGAGTGTATACACTTACACCATTGTGATTGATTCTGAGCCATGTCGCCAAGAGTCTCTAACCATTGGTTATGATAGTCACACGGACCCCAACCAAGTAGTCTGCATCTCCTAACATGACTAAGACTAGAAGTTAGTGACTTCAAGCACTGATGCCACGTTTTGGTTTGGCCGCTCCTAACTTTCTTTCAACCATCTCCAACACCGGTTAGCATTACACGTCGTGGTAATCGGTGTTGTGAATATTGACTAATTGATACTGAATCATTATATGTAAAGTTAGACCTCAGTGCTATGGTCACAATCCCTGAATGAGAGTAAAGTCTTGGATACATATTGATGACAACTAGAGAATAAGAATAACTCAACTATTCCACACTTTCTAGCTGCTTATAAGCAACGAGAATCGAAATTCGCATTCTTAATTTATGGTACTTACCATCAAATTCATGACCATTTATTTTCAAGTTACTATTGATTGGAGCTTTCTGTTCTGTAGAGGCTTTGATATCATTACAAGACTGAAATATATGAACATTTAAAAAAAAAGAATTGAATATAATTAGATAAATGACACGGCATAGAAAAGTGTAATAAAAGCTATCGAATTCTATTGATCAAGTTCCAATGTAATCACTGGTCCCTCTGGAGCTGCTTCCAGTCTCATGCCCGGATAAAGGAGGAGAATTTGGGCATGGGATTAGCGACCTCATCCCGTAGAAAACTAACTCGCTAAAAAAATGCTAACCAGAAAAAATAATTTAAGCCATTTAAACTCTGCTCTGGGAGTTAGAAGATCTTCATCTAGAAGAGTTATAATGTCTCATGATGAAAGCCGAGTTCCTTCGGAAGTCACGAGGCTGATGCCCCTTCTGACAACCAGAGTAACCATTAATTTAGCTACATGGAATGTTCGTACAATGTAGAAGACCGGGAGAGTCTTCCAAATTGCTGCTGCCCAAAGTTCTGTCGAAAAGTTGTGAAATTCAACCGTGTTAAGAATAGAATAGTCATTCATAGTCACTCATCACTAATGATATATAAGTTGGAAACATTAACAGTTGAGTTACATTTTAATAGTTGAGATCATGAGTTAATTAAAACTAGACCACCATGGGAAACTTGGAAGCATTGGACGGACAATTTCGTCCTACTGTGGGATTCCTCATTAGTGCGCATCTGCGATCCCTGCCTTACGAGATTCAGTGGTCTAAATCTAATGTGGTACAACTGGATCTCATGAATTTGGTATCTGTTTGGTTTGTTTGTGTACATTATCATTGAATTATCTTCTGAGATAAAATAGGAAATGGTCTTGGAATGGTTCTTAAATGTTATTGAATGCATAAACCATTTCAATTATCTTAGACGTTTCATCAGTCTGGCGAGATTGAAGTTTGAAAACAATCTTGGTACGTGTTCAAATAACTTTTTTGGTTTTTTCCCCAACTTATTTCATCTGCAATGTAGACGAGATTTTCATTATCCATTGAAAGATGGGTATCAGTCAGTCAGCTACAACGGAATTGAAGAGAGAGATTGATTATGAGTGGTCTTGAATGCTGTTAGAGATATGAGGACGGTTATTACTTCTCGGTTGCCAACACCGTGGAAGGGTTCTTCTGGAGGTACTTGAAAAAGAAATTGAATTAGAGTTGGTCTTAGTGACCTGAAAGCGTGACCGCAGTACCCAAAGGGATAACTGTTTGAGGCCGGTCACACACGATCATTCTGAAGGTAATTTTCGTGTTGGCTACGTACTTGTTGAGATCTGACTACCGCAGATGGAAATCCGGTGGATAAAGTGAGGTGCGCATTTTAAAGGGTCGACCTTTTATAACCCAACCCTTCCTTTGTGGAAATGCAGCATTGCTATCATACTGGTTGTCAGAGGGAAACACCTTACTGCCGTCACACCTATATACACTCAGTAGTACGACTTTGTCTTCGGAACTTGAGTTTACTGCTTTTATTCTTACCGTTCTTCAACTGACCTGTCTGGCATGGTGGGACCTTGACGAACGGTTGTTCTAGCCAGTATAGCCCGATTGGTTGATTACGACAGGCAAGTTGGACCACCACATCATCGTAGCAACAATGGTCAGGAAAAGACGAATACATTGTACAACAATTCGTCCTATTCTACTTTATGACTGAGAGACATGACCTTTAGAAATAGATGTTATTAGGTGATTGATATTCAGTTATAGATGATTTCGAAGCATTCATTCGTGGCGTATACTAGGGTAATCAAGTGAGTAGTGTTAAGATCAGACACACAGTACAAAGTAAAGGTGGCAATTCAATCTTCATCGGTTGAAGTGGTTAGGACATTCATTATATGCACCCAACGATTGCATACTTTAATGTGCCCTGTTAATGGTGTAGAAGTAGGCTGGACTAAAGCTACGAGTGACCAAGCCAAGAGATGGGATGAGTTCATGAACTCACCAAGTACTGAACTGAGTTGTTTTAGTACGTGAAGACTACCTAGCTACTGTCCGCTTTATTATCACAACCAATGATTGGAGACCATGAGTGACAGGTATCAAAATATACTGCAATGGTGCTGATCAATCCACTGTTTATCTTCCATTATAGTTTTTAGTCTATGAACTCATTATCTCTCGAATCAATTTATTTGTGCTTAATGTTTCTCATTATTACTAATACTTCTACTGATCTTAGTAATGTCGTCGCATTATTCTGATATGGTAATGGCAACTCATATTGATTCACATATGAATCAGTATAACTGAGATATCACCGAAGTAATAAATTCAATCACACACAAATCATATATCAGTTACCATGTTGTCAACATCTTTGTGAATATCAGCAAACTGGAAATATGTCATTTATCAGTTACTATATTTTTATGCCCTGATTAGATCCACTTTGTATGGCATATCCAGTAGGTGATACAGCTTAATTTGATTGGTACATCTAGAAAATAATTCTAGCGCTTAATATATATATCAAATGGGAAGTATACTGCTTAGCAGTTCTTTCTGAATAATTAATTTACAAAGTTATTGGATGTTATATCCTAATGAGAATAATGAATGGTAACTTTTGGGATCCATTTATGGACCAATACTATGCGTACATTTTTATTGTATAAACGTTAAATAATTAAACTATTCATATTCATGTCCCTCTTATTGTAAGCTTTATTTTGACCTATAGACTATTATTATACGACTTGCCATTGTTGAGTTATGCCCAGTCTATCAATCACTATCTCCCACATTCAAAGCCACTTCCTGCTAGAATTTTACAAATGTTGTTTCCTATTTTATGGTACGGTGTAATCTGTATGGTTGGTATATAAACCCAGTATGTTTGAAATAAATGATTCATATCACAAAGGCTAAGTTTGGTATTCTGGACTTAACAGGCAGGGCTAGGCAGGAAACAGGCTCGGTAAAGAATCCATACTGTTCGTACAGGTTTTATGCATCATTGGTCCGGTCAATAAATCACCGTTCTCTAATTAGCGCTATCATTGCGTTATACATTAATAGGACACAGAGCACAAGTTATAACATTAGACACGTATCAGTTGTAAGTATTTGACCATAGATACCGTTGAAAAGTTCTGTAAAAGTCATTCTAACGAAAGAGTTACCTTTAAGATGATGCTCATGATGAAAATCAATCGAACTGTGAAATATTAATAACTTTAAAGAATATACTTTGATAAACCACGATTTTGATAAAAAAAATTTCCAGTAAATTCCAATTGGAACAATGTGTTTAGGAAATGAGCATTCTATGCCTTTAACATTCCTTTGCTATACTTTCAATGACAAACACTATTCCTGTGATGTGAGCTACTTAAATCCACATAAGTAATATATAACGATAGTCAGGAATAGAATGTATTTCAATAGAAGATCGAGAAGGAAAGAACAAGAACAGAAAGCAATTGATATCTTTAATATCTCTCAGTTGATAGTGATGAAATCAATGGATAATTGACTGATCAATAGTAAAGTCTTAGATTATTATTATTAAGTAATAAATGCTAATCATGATGTACTTCTTGGGTAAATATCCATCTGAAGTTATAGTTTATTAGCTGAGTGGCTAGTTTGTGGCAGTGCTGTTCTATTTCACCTTCGTAAACGATAAAACGCTCATTTGTATCTTCTTCTACGCATCAACGCTTATCACTGAATTTTAAATAAATTTATTATACAGCAGTCAATCAGTGATGGCACTTCGATTTCATTTAGTTGGTCACCATTGTAAACAAGGAGGTACTGAATATCTGTTCTATCCTATCTGAAGCTCCTCAGCTGTGCCCATCGAGCCCAGAACATGTAGATCATACAGCAATCTTTAGAGAGATAAGTTGATGCACATTTTTGTGTATGTTTATCTGTGATCAATTTGCGATATTGCATGACAGCTTTTCCTTGCCCAAGGTAGATAACTGGCTAAAACCCACATGGCTGAGCTCTACTAGTATCCATTTCACACTTAAACTCTTGGAACTGCATTTGGAAGTTGCTGTCAAATGAGTACAAGATTGTTATTAGTGAAGGAGATTTATTGATAAACTTTTCTAGTTTAAATGCTGAAGTTAGCCGGACGATAACTCAGTTACTTAGAGGTTATGAGTAATCGCGAACCAAATTTCCTGGATTCGATCCTCTGTGATAGGGTCATGGATGAGTACTATAGTGAAATCCCATGCTAATAAGTAATATCTATTCAGTAGTTCCTGGTTTCTAGTGGTGGTCTAATCAAGATCAGTCTATAATTTGAAATAATAAAATTTATTGATTCAGATTATGAACCGATCGGTGCGAAACTACCACTGAAAACCTGGAAGCACTGAACGGCCGTTTCGTTCTATTGTGGGACTCCTGCATAGCAGTGCACATCCATGATCCCGCATCGAGTGAGTCAGACCCAGAGCCTTCGGTTTCGAGCACGAACGCTTAACACATTATAATATTTAATGTAAATGAATGAAAACATATTCAAATCTAATGTCATTCGTTCATTATAACTTATTAAATGTATGATAAATGAATTTACTTTGGAATGAATTCGTTTAGTTGTTGATTTGGATCCCTCTAGACGATATTCTTCAACAAAACGAATTTTTGGTAGAAGCTATTCATAAAAGAATATCAAAATATACATTAACTCATCATTAAATAATTTGAAAAAAAAAAATTAGGAAAAATTAAATTAAACATAACTGGAGGTTGGAGCCTCGAAGTGAACATCAACTTTGTGATGAAGATACATTCACCTGACAAGTCTCAAATTGGAACGAGACACACATCCTAGATTCCACTGCTAGTCATCATGCATCTGTACATATTAAAAACATGACGAAAATATTGAATTTCAACATTCTCAGAGAACAATACAATAATCTGTAATGTAAGTCGTTTTAGTTTTTGTCAAGTTAATTTTTAAAGAAGAGGCGATGGAAGTGAATAGGACACACATTGAGAGAAAAGCACTCAACTGCATCACAAGGCAAGCCATCGCTTGGAATCCTCAACGCTAAAGGAGGGGAGGAAGATCAAAGAACACGTTGCGCTAAGAAATATAGACAGACCTAGAGAGAATGATCACAATTGAATAGAACTAGAAAGGAAGGCCCAGACGAGAGTGGGTTGTAGAATCTTAGTCGACGGTCTATGCTCCTCTATTGGGAGTAACAGGCGTAAGTAAGTAAGTAATTAAGTAGTTTTTGAATCTTATGTAGTTAGTATATTGATGAATTTTAAGTGATCAAAACTGAAGTCTGAAGTCTCATAACGATCGATATCAGACAGGACAACTTTCAATATATATATATATACTACTGTTAATATAACTAGTAGTATCCGTTGTTAACCGATAAGTTCAATGTTTAGCTGTAAGTATGGTTTAATGAATAATTACAGTAAATTATACAATTGATTTTAACATGGTAGAATATTTATAAATGGAAGATAATAGGAAGATAGTGAATTAATAATAAATAATAGATAAGTAATGAATATATTTATAACTCCGTCTGTAGCTCCTCTGGAGCTACTGCCGGTTCCAAACCCGGATGAAGGAGAAGGATTGGGCATAGGGTTAGCGACCCTATCCCATAGAAAACTAACTCGCTAAAAAAACGCTAACCATATATATTTATAATGTGGTGTATGTTACTTATGTTGATAGATATAAGTAGTATGTAGTAGCAATCGAAAGTGAAATGCCTTTTAGTAGATGATTAAGAAGATTGAAGTGAAGAGAGAATAGGAAGGAAAGAATAGAGTAATTGTAAGAACAATAAAATTGAAATAGTCATGAGTTGTGTAAAGTATAAATGAAGGAAGATATGCATATAATGTATTCAATGTATGATTCTCATATTTTAGGAAAACACTCTGTAGTTTTACATTGAACAGTAAATTGATTATTCCTATGAACTCTTCTTACACTATAATACCACATGCATATTCTCATTGTAGATGTTAAAGAGTGAATCTAATCTTTATTGATGTACTGATTTTCTAATTTCAACGTGAATGCTAATATTTAGAAGCTGGTATATCCAGACATCCTATCCCATAAACAAGAACAAAGCAGATGAAAACAACCAGTGTAGTAGAAGCTTCTGCATCCGTAAGCCTCAACATACAAAGGAAAACGAATGACCCTCAAATACAACGGAGAGAACACTAACCCAATCACACTTAATGGAGAAGCTCTGGAAGATGTGGAATCTACTAAGTACCTGGGAAGCGTCATCGATGAAGTAGGAGGATCGGATGCAAACGTAAAGGCGAGGGTTGAAAAACCAAATGTCGCATTCTCACAACTAAAGAACATATGGAACTAAAAACAGCTGTCAACCAATATCAAAGTCAGAATTTTCAACGTCAAGACAGTTCTCCTGTACGGAGCTGAAACTTTGTGAACTACTATAACCATCATCAAAAAAGTACAAGTATTTATGAATAGTTGTCTTCGCAAGATACTCAACATCCATTGGTGGGATACCATCGGCAGCAGCCTACTGTGGGAGAGAACAAACCAACTTCCAGATGAAAAAAAAATTATTGAAAGACGATGAAAATGAATTGGACATACATTACAAAAACTATTAAACTGTATTACAAGGCAAGCCCTAACTTGGAAACATGAAAGAAAATGGGAAAGAGGAAAGCTGAAGAACACAATGCGTTGGGAATTAGAAGCAGACATGAAAAGGATGAGTAGCAACTGGGAAGGATTGCCCAGGACAGAGTTGGATGGAAAATGCTGGTGAGCGGCCTGTTCTTGCCAACGAGGAGTAACAAGTGTAAGTACGTAAGTAAGTAGGTAGGTAGGTAGGTAGGCGGGTAAGTAAGTAAGTAAGTAAGTAAGTAAGTAAGTAAGTAAGTAAGTAAGTAAGTAAGTAAGTAAGTAAGTAAGTAAGTAAGTAAGTAAGTAAGTAAGTAAGTAAGTAAGTAAGTAAGTAAGTAAGTAAGTAAGTAAGTAAGTAAGTAAGTAAGTAAGTAAGTAAGTAAGTAAGTAAGTAAGTAAGTAAGTAAGTAAGTAAGTAAGTAAGTAAGTAAGTAAGTAAGTAAGTAAGTAAGTAAGTAAGTAAGTAAGTAAGTAAGTAAGTAAGTAAGTAAGTAAGTAAGTAAGTAAGTAAGTAAGTAAGTAAGTAAGTAAGTAAGTAAGTAAGTAAGTAAGTAAGTAAGTAAGTAAGTAAGTAAGTAAGTAAGTAAGTAAGTAAGTAAGTAAGTAAGTAAGTAAGTAAGTAAGTAAGTAAGTAAGTAAGTAAGTAAGTAAGTAAGTAAGTAAGTAAGTAAGTAAGTAAGTAAGTAAGTAAGTAAGTAAGTAAGTAAGTAAGTAAGTAAGTAAGTAAGTAAGTAAGTAAGTAAGTAAGTAAGTAAGTAAGTAAGTAAGTAAGTAAGTAAGTAAGTAAGTAAGTAAGTAAGTAAGTAAGTAAGTAAGTAAGTAAGTAAGTAAGTAAGTAAGTAAGTAAGTAAGTAAGTAAGTAAGTAAGTAAGTAAGTAAGTAAGTAAGTAAGTAAGTAAGTAAGTAAGTAAGTAAGTAAGTAAGTAAGTAAGTAAGTAAGTAAGTAAGTAAGTAAGTAAGTAAGTAAGTAAGTAAGTAAGTAAGTAAGTAAGTAAGTAAGTAAGTAAGTAAGTAAGTAAGTAAGTAAGTAAGTAAGTAAGTAAGTAAGTAAGTAAGTAAGTAAGTAAGTAAGTAAGTAGGTAGGTAGGTAGGTAGGTAGGCAGGTAAGTAAGTAAGTATATCCGGATATCAGATTTCAAAAGAGACAAAACGTACATCTTAAACTCTAATACAAACTATATACATATAAATTGATTAAATTACCTCTAATACAACAGGTTCTTTAGATTTTTTATCATTCGTTGATCCATTTGATTCTATTTCACGTAATAATTGATTATCATTATAAGGATTTAATTTCATAGCAACTAATTGTGGATATTCTGATATAGTTCTTTCATCTTGTAAAAATTTGCCTTTTTTACCACTTTCTGGTGGTAAATATAAACCATAATTAATAAAATCTAATTCTTTTAAATTGTATGTTTCAATTGCTTGTTTTCTTAATTCACCAATTAATATATCTGTACGAACTTTGAATATGTACTGAAATAGTAAAACAAAAATATTTATGTTACTATGCAAATGAAATAGTTTTATAGGTAATAAGATATTGATATTGATCTTATGCTTAATCAGTATCAACTAATTGAAACTGATCGATCAAACGATGAGACTATAATGTTTGGATGACCACTGAGCGACACTCAAGTGACATTGAGAGTGTCCACCTAATAACCAGGATCAAATGAAGGTTATAAATCAGTGTGAGGAAATAGAAGGGTTAGGAATTAGATTTAAGGGTTTTCATTATGAACTAACATCAACCATAATGCTAAAATTCTATTTACCGAAATAGCCGAATTATTTTCGTGTCAAAATCCGAGACTTCTTATCTTATACTTGATTGGTTCGTCCATAAATTATAGTCTGGACGATCAAAATTTACCACTAGATTATTCTACGACATGATGTGAATTGCTTCACCTAGTTTTGGAGTATTGTTGTGTGATCTACTTATATTCACATAAGTAGTATATAATGATAGTCAGGAATAAAATGTATTTCAGTAGAAGATCGACAAAGAAAGAACGGAAACGGAAAGCAATTGATATGAAAATGTACGAACAATGAAATCTGACACGATGGACTGACATTTGCATAAGAAACAGTCAAGTTGGAGACAAATCATTGACATTCTACACATTAAGTATTCACTGTATGGTTCTCAGATTTTAGTGAGATGTTCTGTAATTTCGTGTTCAAATACATACGATTGTCCCCGCCAGTGTTTTTTTCACTACAGTACCTTCTTCTCTGAAGTATGCATACAATCAGCCAGAACAACTGTCACCTTCTTTTCACCTATGTATATTTGGGTCTTTTGGTTAGAAGTTACCAGTATTGCTCGATTCCATCGTATCCATTCTATGTTCATACATGTATATATGGCTTAGATCTTTATGAGTAGATAAAAATAAATTGATTTTTTTAAAAACCTGATTATTTTGCCTACATGGATTTGAATTACGCTAATTTGTTATATGTTTGTAAGTAACTTCATTTTACTGCATTCAGAATTTAGAATTACTGACCAAATAAACTGTTACTGAAATCCAAGGTGATTAAATGACAAACAGAGAAGTAATGTGTCATTTGCATCATGGATTTACTTTAGCCAAACAGTCACTAAAAACCACAAAGAACTTTAATATTGTTTTATCCTATTATGAAACTTTTCAACAGTGCAAGCACACACATATGCTCTATCTAATCGAGGAACTTGAGACATTGCAATCAATGTAGAATAATTAGTTTATCATCCAGTTCTATCTATAAACATAAGCTACATCTGGAACGCTTAACCAATCACTACGTCTATAAAGACTGATACTATTAATTAGCATTTTAAACATCAACTGTTTATTCTATTTAAAAATGAATCAATCATTCGAAACGTTATTTTAATTGAAATATATTGCTTACTTATAAGTAGGTTAACAATTTAACTTAAATTTTCCGAGAGCCACCCAATATTGTAATATCAGAAATATTTATGAACTAAATTTTATACATGAACTTAAAGATAGGTACCTGTATTTATTTCTAGGGTCACTTTATTAATGATTGATTGAACTGTGGCTCAATTCGATTATCTACTTTTAACTAACTAACTAACTAACAAATCGATTAATTAATTACTTATTAAGTTCAATAAGCCAATAAATTAAAATCATAATTCATCATATTAAATAATAATGGAAAGAATTAAGTCTGTGTATTGAAATTATGCCATTCTATTATCTACTTATTGCTTCTAGTGATTAATCATTTGCCACGACCTCTAGTTGGATAGTGGTTGGTCACTGTTAAAAAGTTTAATATGAGGGATAATACACCTGTTTCATGATCCACGGCTTTTAATGATACCTCCTTCCCCCCCCCATCGACATCAGTTTTTGATGAATGAAACCTCTGTTGAAATCTGTTGAAAAAAGTAATTTACTCCGTCAAGTTACATGTAATCTTCTCAATCAAACTAGTACTTATACAACAAATGAAGGGTAGGTTACCGATGATGGGCTCATCTATGTGTGTTTACGAATTTAATTATTCCTGTGGAGCTAGTTATGTAGGCCGTACTCAGAGGGTTTTATCTTTACTTGCATATAAAAATGTACCAGGATGATTGGATAAAGGAGTCAGGAAATTTATCAACAGCGTCATCATTTCACATTTGATATATAGGTAACATCATAATAAAATAGATGAAACTTGCTCTGTTTTGTAGGAAGTTTTAAAGGATCTACGTAGAGGAACTAGATTACGATTTTTCTGCATAACTGGAGTCGTCTGCATCAACTTCAGAAGACCGAGCTTAAGTAACTGAAAGAAGTATACCGAGCCTCTATGGCACACAACTGGATCATCAAACATCAAAACCAGATATTATAAACCTCTTATCCCTCACCCAATTTCTTTTGTGTTTATATTGTTCCTAATCTACATATCAATCTTTCTCAATTCACATAACTTATTGTTACCTCCATTAACATGATGGAATTCGCCAACTGTGCATTTTGTTTACATGATTTATTGTTTTACTGGTACACGGATTACAGCTTGACACTTTATTACCAATCATTCTGATTTTTGTTAAATGACCTTCTTTTAAAAAGTTTGAGCCAGATTATCAAGCAACTTACTTCAAATTCATTCTCTGAGATTTTACAAATACATTCTTCCGCTTTAATATTTCACATCAAGTCGGTGCCTAATTACTGTGAAACAAATGAATCAAATTTAAACGAAAGTTTTTAAACAAGCTTTCTTGTTTACAAATAACAACATTTTGGCATCAGATGTAATTCCTGATGTTCTAGTGAGAAGCCATGATTAGTGGAGTTCAACCATGTCTGTTACGAAACAGTGACTCGCTGAAGACAATGGTGAACAGTGGTGAGATTTCTTGTATTGATTGAATTTAAACATTATCATTGTTAGATTTCGACTATATGGTCTGGAGGTTAACCATTCGCGCGTGAAACTGATAGGTCTTGGACTCGAATCCCGAGATCGGAATCGTGGATGCGCACTGTTGAAGAGTCCCATACTACGACAAAACAGATATACAACTGAATTTATTTATCACGTTATTATTTTTGTCTCATCCAAATTTACAAGATAGTATTACAGATTTTAAAAATGAAATCATTGAAAAAGAAACATTTTTATTTTCGGTTTGTTTAAATATCTAAATCCATTATAAAACGAACAGATTCTAATTTAAAAATGAACAAAAACCATTTCACTGAATTAGGTATGCTCGATTCTATGCAAAAAGTTGTGAATTAAACACTACTAAAAAGTCTTATTATAAGAATGAAACACCTATCTGGTACTTCTATTTTTAATAGTTAAATTCATTAGTCCATGAAAGCTAGACCACCATGAAAAACCTAGATGTATTGGACGACTTTTTCATTCTAGTATGAGACATCTCATTAGTACACAGTCACGATTTCACCTCATGAGATATGTTGAACCTAGGACCTATCAGTCTCACATGTGTGAACACTTAACCACTAGATCACTGAGATGAGTGACATTCAACGATGTGAATGTCTAACTTCAATCAATTCACAAAATGGCATCATCATCTACCACTGAATTCCGGTAACATTTTACACATAAATTAATCTGTGATAAATCTAACCTGGATTACAAATAGATTAGAATCTATGCTGTAATGAATAGATTCATTTATTATCTAATCATTGACATTTTAAAAAAAAAAGTCAATTATTTACGAACACATGATGACATGTACATGTTAAAATAATGGAATGAATAGAGGAATTACATAATATGATAATAACCATGTATTTGAGATAATTATGAAAGTTCATAGTAAGTTAATAGGTCCATTATTGTTATTATTATTATTATTATTATTATTATTATTATTATTATTAGTAGTAGTAGTAGTAGTAGTAGTAGTAGTAGTGAGGCCTTGTAATTCATATGAATATTCTGTAATGAAATGTCTATCAATAAATGGACAAGTATGCTGCATGGCAGTTTGTTCTGTTCTACTTTACGGATTCGAAACATGACCATTAAGAGTAGAAGTATTTGATCACAGATGTTTTCGGAATATTGCTTGCATCTGCTGAGAACATCGGTAAGTAATGGCGGGGTTAGATGTTGGGTATTAAGGAATGATGGTAAATCAGTTGATGAGGTTGTGAATATTCATCGACTGAGATGTTTGGGACACGTGTCACGTATGCCTGAACACTGATTACTACGACGCGCAATGCTGACTAGTGTTGGGGATGGTTGGAAGATAGTCTAGGGCGACCAAACCAAAATGTGGAATCAGTGTTTGAATTCACTAACTTCTAGTCTGAGCCATGTTCGTAGATGCACACTACTTGGTTGGGTCCGCATGACTATCTTAACCAATGGATAGAGACTGTGTGTGACATGGCGGAGAATCGATCACAACAGTGTAGTTGTATACACTCTCTGTCTTCCTTTAAACTATGAGATTAAAATCGCTTCATATCTTTCTTCCTACGTACGAAATCTTTCTTCCTGTACTATATGCTTATATGCAATCTTTCTTTTATATATTACCACCATTGAAGTAACTACTTCTATGAATCGAGTGTTCATCTTGTTGTGCTAATGTGATGTGACAACTTGGATCAGTGCATATATATGCCTGGTCCTATGTTGTAGCTGACTGACTGACTAACTGACTGATGTGTTTTTGTGTGTTTAGTAACATTTTTATAAGTAACTAATATTCAAAACTCAATCATTTCTATGATTGTTATAATCAAAACAAATACTTTGTTGTGATTTGAATATTGAACAAATGGAGATCAAGTGACAATAGATTATAATCTTTAAGACATTATGGAATTTTATTGTAAACAGTGTATGAAAACTGCTGATTTTTGTAATTTGATTCTAGTGTCATAATAGTTAAATAATAACTGAATAAAAAAAAACCAAGAAGCGCTGGGGAATTATTT